GCAGTTTTGGAAAACATGGCACAAGATTAACTCCTATGTAATTTTCTTCATTCTTCTCTCATGGCTGGTTAAAACCTGGCAGRAATCATCCAGGTTGAATTATCTGTCAATGACTTTCCAAGTCTTGTGTAGCAGCTTGAGATTTCTTGGTGTACATGAAGACACCACTATGACTCTTTCGCAAATAATGGCATAGATTCGACTGAAAGTTATTAATGCCAGTTGTCTTTCCTGAATAGTTACCCCTTTTTGTTCTCCTCATGTTCCTTTTAAAAAATCATAGAATCATATAATCCTTGAGGTTGGAAATAACTTATGTTTTACACAGTAACATAGTAGAGAGCAGTTATACCTCATTTTGAATACCACAGTAGAATTTGACTTACTAATCTATAGTGAACTTACTAAGTATAATCAGAAAAAAAAAATGAAATGCCCATGCATCATTAATGTTATCTGCTTACCTAGTTTTTAACAAACACTGGAGAAAGTGTTTCTGAAAGAATTCAATGATTTTTAATGTAAATGTCTGAGGATCTGTGAGCCTCAGATTAAAATTACAAGTGCCAGATGTTATTAATGTGCATAGATCTTTAAGAGCAATAATTACTATTATTAAGTGCCTCAGYGGAAGAAATACAATGTTAATTCCTTTGGACTTTTCAGCCAACTTGTCTGGAATAAAAGACTCYCTCTTTAAAATTCAAGATAGCAACCAACGCTTCAGATGTTTGGTTTTTTTTCCTGAATTATAGTAGGTGAATGGTAACCATGAAGTTCATAGAGTCTGTCTAAGATCAACATACAGAGGAACTGCTGCAATTACTCTTTCTTGAGGAGTTCATTCAGAAGCTGCCTAACTTCCTCTAAACTTTTATTGGACTTTGTAAAGATCATTGTATTAACTAAGAAAGTTGCAATACTCCTTTTTTATTTTTTATTTCTATCTGATTTTCAAGACTAGATAATGGAAATGCCTATTATTCTGTGAACAGTGGAGTAATCACTTAATTCTAACTGTTCAAAAACCTATAAATATCTATCTAGTTAGATTAGATGACATGATACATYGTGTGCCAAATTAAAACTTGATTGATTTACCATGCAGTCTCATTTAATTCTCATTGAAATCAGTGAATTTGCATGGTCTATAAATCTCTGATAACATTGACTGCCTTTGATCATCACTCTTCTTGATAATTACAGTTCAATGCTTATGTAACACTATTGCAAATAACACTGAAACAYGCAGGAATAAGAAAACATTTACATTTACATTTAAACTAAGAGAAGGCTAAAGAAATAAATATTTGCATTTTAAAAAATCATAATGGAAAAGGAATAAGGAACACATACAAGGAAGATTGTAATTGGTTTTGAGAATACAATTTAAAATATTATGAAATTAATTTTGGTGAGATATTACTTAAATGTTTCATTTCTTGCTGGGGTTAATCCAGAAAAAAAAGAAAAAAAAAAGTGTCATGTGTGTACATATATAAATTATGACCTATAAATAAGACAGGTTATTACCTGTCTATGCCCAGAAAAAAAAGTAAAAAAAAAAAATCCCAAACTTTTGTACTCTCGTAACCATCACACATATCATCGCAGTGTCAGATATATTCCCTCTACATGAGCCTTCATGCATATTCAAATATAGAACTTCATTTGAATTCTTAATACCTTGGAAAGCTTTTCTAAGCCAAGTCCCCACTTGCATATCGCTTTGAAAAATCTCTCCCCTTTCAACATATGGTTAAGATCAGAGAAGTATGTTTGCAAAAGTGACATCTTGGCAATCTGCATATTTTTTTTCATTTATGCTTTCATAATGCATTTGCAAGTTTGTAGGTACTAAATTCATGACAAAATAAATTTAATTTGCTTTTTGAAAATATTGGGGAGGAAATTCAAAAGTAGAGTATTTTTTGTTTTAATCTCCTCTCTGCTTGTTGGATAATTAGAACTGTCAGCAGCACAATGTTGTTTGTCTCAGAACTTTACAAAAATGTTGTCTTCCCACTACTCTTGTGAATATCATTTTCCCTGTTTCATACCTGCAAATCAAAAGAACAGGGAGTGGTAACACAATTGTTTCAAGTCAGCTAGGTGCTTAACTGCTGTTCACTTTTGATTGCATGGAAACTGAGCAGTGTTATGTACTCAGTATCTCTGAGAATTGATATCTAAATGGTTTTGCATAGCTCATGCAGAAGATACAGAAATATATAGAGATTCTGAGACACCTGGACAAAAATAATTGTAATCCTTATGTTTCTTCTCTTTCCTTCTTTCTTATCACATGTTATTGTTGGACTCATTGCACAGTGACAAAGACTGGGCACTGTTACTCTTCATGAATTTTTCTTCTGAGTTATTTGTGTTTCTCAACTGACATCAAAACAGTGAGGAAAGTGATAGAAATTCTGGTGGATTGTATGTAGATGATTATAAAATTTTCTTTTATTTCTCACCATACACTTTGAAGTCAGTGGCAGGACTTCTGCCAACTTCAGTTTGAYGAAGAACAGCTTTTGTCACTGTAGAATACGCTTGAAGGTGTATTCCCTTTTCTGATGGCTTCAGAATTTAAAGCGCCAAACATGTTCAAGGGATTTGGTGTCTTCCCAGCTGTGAGGGTTTGCCTTTGATGCTTTACCTGCATGATTGAAGCCAAATGGATAACAGTTAAAAGATATTTTAGATGGAGTGATCTAGGAATCTAGCRCAATAACTCTCATTTACCAAGCTAACATTTGCATTGCTGAGAGTAAAAAATATCCGTTGTRCTTTTGGTTACATTTGAAAGTAGCTACTATCCTTTTTATTTGTAGTAAGTGTTGACTCATGAATCAGAACAAAATGCATCATGTTTTGTTTGGGTCATGTTTTGCTTATGGTAGCAAAAAATCATTTTGGCAAAAATATCTAAACAGATGTGGTTCAGAAATACCAGGCATGTTCATTGACACATTCTCTGTTTTTAAACATAGTCACTCTGTTTATTTATTCTTTTAAGTATTAGCACAGTATAGCAACATTTTAATGAATAGTTTTAGATTTAGAATTCATATTGCTGGGAATTAGATAGGTTTCTCTCTCTGTTTCATTTACAGAAAGTAAATATTATGAGCTCTGTAGTATATTTTTTCCAAGGGCTTTTTATTTTTGATTCTAAATGAAAGCTGTTTCAATGTCTTTACTTTTTATGAGTACTCCTAATCTTCTCCTTTTAACTTATATGAAAACAAAATCTTTTCCACTCACTAGTCTTTTTATGCCAGATAGCATAAACTTCATAAATTAAGCTATGAAAATTTACCTGTGACAACTCTTTGAAATGGATAGCTGATAAGCTGTATTTCAATGAACATGTAGAGGYCCTTCAAAACCATTTAGCTAGTATGCAAAACATTTTTGTATGTTAATATCAGTTCTGTGAAGTAAGATCTAAAAGGATCAAAATAGATATTGATTATCTGAATACTCCTTAAATTATAAAACCAAAATTGATATTTTTCATGTASTATTATAATACTTTCACAGTAAACTTCAGACTTTCACAGACTTAAACCGGTAAATTATTAAAGTTCCTCAACATTGTTATATTTATAATATACAATAAATAATGATAATAATAAATAAATGGTAAAAATATTCATTAATTATCWATATATATATTATCCCAATATATATATTTATCTTACTGTGTCTATACAATAGTCTGGTCATAAAATAATCTAGTAGAATTTTTAAGCAACAAAATCTGGTATCTTAAAATTCTAAATTACCCTAATTAGGAGGCTTATGACAGTCATTAAGAATTTTCTTCCTGACAGATGAGAGTTCTTTGTTGTCCTATGGAATCTTCACAGCTTTTTTTTTCAATGATACAATACTTTTTCCAAAAAGTATTTAAAATTTTTCTTTTCAGAAATGTTGCCTGATTTCAGGCTTTAGTCTAATTTTATTCATGTTATCACTTTAATTAAGCAGAAAAAAAAATCCTATTGGGGTGAGCTTCAAACTTTCTGTAATGAAATACTTAGATAAAATGTGATATTGGTCTATAGAAACGTATTTCCATTTCTAAAAGTAATAACATGATATTCAAATAAAAATGCAAATCAAATACAATTCAAATACTGACATGCAAAAAAAATGACAAGATTCTCAAAAATAATTTTGGGGATATTASGCTATTTTATTTTGGGGGGGTTTGGGGTTATTTTGAGGTTATTGGGGGTATTAGGGTATAGGGTATATATTTGTCTTTTTCATGATACACAAGATCAGTTGGTTTCCCTTACCTTATTGAAAAATGAGATCTATGAATCACTATATGAAAAATAGATCGGGTAATGTTAGTTTTTCTAGATCTTCTCTAATATGAATGCCAAGAACTTACTCAGTACAAGATTGTATGTTATAGAACATGCTGTCATGTAAAAGGTGTTCCCATGGTTGTTTTTGAACAACAAGACCTATTGAAAATTATCTGAATTAAAATGACTATTATGTAAAATTTTTAATTGTGAAAGTTTTTGTCATCTGATATTTAGGAAATTGCCCATGAGAAGCTTTGATTTTTCAGTATAATGTTGCTGTTTCATATATTGTATCAAACTGCCTTTGACAACTGTAAAACTCAATTTGCTTGATGAAAATATTTTTGGTTAAAGCAGAGGAGGAAATCAAGTTTTTTTTCATCTCATTCATTATAAAATGAATCAAACATTGCTAAAATAAAATTTAGATTTAAAAAATACCTGCTGAAACTAGTGTAATAATTTTGAAATAATTGAAACATGAAGCAATTGCTTATGCTCTAACTTTGTGACAGTTTCAATTCTAATATGTTAATAAACCTTAAATAATGTATTTTAAATAAAGTAATGTCTTTTAGATAAAGGAATCAAACTTAATTTTTCAGTAAGAAAATATGCATTGCTAAGCAGTGATTTTAATGGCATTCTACTCTTTTTTTTTTTTAACAGCTGAGGATGCTTGTGGAGGAACTATGAGAGGATCCAGTGGTATCATCTCCAGTCCCAATTTTCCTAACGAATATCATAATAATGCAGATTGCACATGGACAATTGTGGCAGAACCTGGCGATACAATCTCACTCATATTTACAGATTTTCAGATGGAAGAGAAATATGATTATTTGGAAGTAGAAGGTTCAGAACCACCCACAATATGGTAAGTTAATTATTGTAATTTTAATTTGGGAAATTTAAAAAAAAAAAAAAAGTTGATACAAATGTGAAAGAGTAGCTTTTATTGCTTTTACCTTACTCATCATCTTGCCAAATCAAGAATTACTGTAGTGTAAATTCAATTTTTTAATTGCAACTTTAAAATAACTTCCAAATATATTCCACGTATGAAACATCAACATGAAAGCCATTCATGCTTATTCACTTTATTGTCCATGGGTATGTCTAATCATTACTGTGGAAAAAGAAAGAAAGAAAGAGAAAGAGAAAACCCAAATATTTAGAAACTGAATGGCTGATTCATTTGTGCCAGGCTGACTCCCTGAGCATTGTGGAGCCCTCAGGGAGTTTTATATCATGTAGGGGTGACTGGCAGGGTGCACTCTGAGATTAGAGCTGGGTAAAGTTGTGCTGGTCACACTTGCCTACCCAAGCATACACATGGTCTGGTGGTATGGCCAGTGTTACACAGATTGGGAAATTTTCATACTGATCTGAGCAATATGTCACCCACAGCTGAGTAGTCACAGCAATTTTTTTTTTTTTTTTTTTTCATTCCAGTGGTATTATCTTCACAGGAGATCCATGTTTGTTTGTATAACAATATTTCCTAAGCTTTCTTTGGCAATTCTGGTGTTGTTGCTGTGTAGCTGTATTATATAAAACAAGTAGAATCAATAAAATATTTAACAACTTGTCACAGAACGAGTGGTAGGGAGTGTGAGTGACACAATGCACTTCACTCATATGAAAGAAATAATATTAAGGTTTATTGATATGGACAATGTTTTCTCAAGATTCTATGGCAAGATCGCTAATTATTATTTACTGCATGGAGGTTTAAGATAATACACAATTATCATGGACACCCTCCCGTTGGGTCACGAGCTTCAGATTGGACCCCCTTGCTTTCCAATCTCCTGCTGAGAGGAGTCTGGGTACAGATGGATGCAATCCTTGTCCCAGACCTGGTCAACAGTTTATGACTAAGGGATTTTGTGCACAGTTACAAAGTAATATTTACAAGTCCAGAAAGAGAGCGTGCTATATTCACTTACTATGAATCTGTTGTGGAAAGGGATCTCTTAATCCTGAGGAATATCCTTGAGACGTGYCTCTGCTCAAGGGGAGATCCTGATGTGCAGCCCACTGCCATGAAAGGAGAACTCAAGGGGCTCTCAGGCTGTCCCTATATTTATGGGATAAGATGATTGACTTATAGTCGTTCTTTCATTTCAGAGGACTTTTGCCTGGTGTATGCACCATCAGCCTTATCTCCCCATGGGATGCAGCCATCAGGACTTATTGCTGGTTAATGTCTGAGTCCAGGAAGAAATCAGGGAGCCAATTACCAGGGTCACTGGTGCTTAACACCTGAATAGGGCTGCATGTGAAAAGTCCGGTTGAGCTGGGAAAGGAGCATATCCATCACACAACTTCATTCAAAATCAGAACATTGATAAAAATAATATGATACATGCTGTGGTTTTCTGGCCTGGTAATTTTATGGTAACACAGTATCACATCATTCTGAAAAWAAAAATCAGTATGGAATACTTTTGAATATAATAAACAAATATATTTGTTATATTTCTTTAAACACACTACTGATTTCCAGTACAATCTTAAGTTCTTAACTGCTTCGCAAAGCATTATGAGGGCTCTGTGGAATCTATGGGCTAATCCGACAAGCCCAATTAAAGTCAATAGAGTTTTGTTCACCTGCAATCAACACATAAAGAAAAAAATAATTAATTAAATGATTTTTTAAAAAAATAATTAAAATTAATTATAAATTTGTAATAAAATATCATAAATTAGATGGTTACATTATTTTGATAATAACAGTCAGTTTCTACAAATGAAGGTTTTAAGTTATATTCCTTACTACTTTAAGATATAATAGGAATCTACACAGCGCATCTCAGCCACAATGTATAGTATTTCATAATATAAGTTAATTCATACTGCCTCCTATGTAGTTAATTATCAGTATCATAATATTACTGAATTGCCATTTTTCTGATTTTTGAAGACATTAAATCTTTTGATGTAGCTGTCAAATGAATTATTTTCAAACAATAATTTATTATAATTATTAGTGAGGTAACACCGATGACATATAGAAAATATGAATCACTTGAGGAGCTTGTTCTTAGGGCAATTTATGTATTCTGTCATGTGCTTCAGTGATTTAATTTTTCTACAGACTCATATACTTTTTATTAGACTATATCAAAATTACATAATTTATATACAGAAACACTCCAATTTACAAATTTACAAAACCAAAAAACATTACAGTGCTAATTTAATAAATGCTTATGTAGAAAAGCATTTTGATATCATATCCTTTTTTAAAATTGTCATTTATACTCCATTAAGATTCATGTACTGTTGCATTTGATGGTGGGGGAGGGATGGGATAAATTTGGTAAGAGATGAATCTCCTTGCATTCCAGCTGATCCTCAGAGGATAGAGGGGTTGAGGGTGGCTGGACTCATCTCTTAATAGGGACACCAAATACTGTGGTAACTCTGCCAACTCTGCCAACTCTGGCAGTACCAGATTCACAAACAGCCTGTTGACTGTACAAGTTTAAAACTCCTAAAACACATTTATTGATCTTGATAGTAGCAACTGTTGGATTTTTTCGTGTATGTGACTAAAATAATGAGCTAAAATATAGGCACAGTAGATAGCCTGGGGTTGTCTATGGAAAATGACTAGGAAGTCTTCAGGAAAGACTAGACCAAATGTTTTCCTTGGTCTTCCAACTGATCATCAGCCTATTTTGGTCATGTCAAGACTTTTCTTCAAGAAAATCTTTTATTAAAAGATTTTAATAARTAAAGGATAAAAGTTATTAAAATACATAGAAGGTAAAATTAATAAAAATCATATCTTCTTAATACCTGAAAACGAAAAGGTGATAGCAACTTGTAATATCTCATGTTGCTTCTAAAGCTGGAAGCCCCAAGAGACACCTCTAGTTGGGCTATAGCATGTTGCACAAATCCTATCTGTGGTGAGGTTAAGCTGATATTGTGGTCTTTAAACTTAGAATTTTCTTAGAAGTACTGTACTGTAGAAGGAAACTGTGTTGCTCCACTTCAAGATAAAGACAAGGATATGGCATCATTGCTTGTACCACCAGCAGATGGATGCCATCTCCAGGCTCTCGTATTACTGGAAAAGTTTATCTTATATGAAGGAATATAATATGATACATGCTGTGCAGCACAGCACACTCCTTAAAGTCAAGTGGTATGTGCGGTGCTGTATGCCTCAGTGCTTTCCTTCATCTGCTTAGGTCAGCATGCTTGTGGTCCTCTGGTTAGGACCCATATGACCTCCTTTTAAAGCAACAGGACTGAACTCGTTTCTGTCTTATTCATGTTGTATTTTGGGGAATTTCAGACTGATTTCTATCTTGTTTTCATAAAATATAAAGGAAATTGAGAGTTTTCCAGATTAAATCAGATTATTCTTTAGATCATTACTCTGTATTTGGCTCTAGCCAAGTTATCATTATTTCCTCTAGAAATCTAGGTGCACTCAATGCAAAATAATACACAAGATTAGATTTACATTGCTAGTCATAGACAATTAATCTATCTTAAAACACTGTAAAGAGTTCACTATGTGAAATTACATATCAGATCATATGTTCATATGTTAATTGCCTTAACATATGAATGTGAATATGTGGTTAAATATATGAATAACTTGCAACAGTAATACTATATTTTTTATATTTTTTTAACATTCTATTTAATAAAAAAAAAAAAAAGTCCTTTTGCATTCATTTAAAATAGAGTTCTGCAGAGAAATTCATTTAAAATAGAGTTCTGCAGAGAAGAACTTTCTGAGTTCATGGCCTGGTGTCCAGAGATCTTTCTCTGGAATGATTGATTGTAGCACAACGTAACAGGTAACACCTATAAGAACAAGAAATAGAGTCTCCTGTTCTCTGTTTCTCAGCAGGACTTTTTTCTAAAATAGATATGGTAAAATGTTTAACATTTTCTGTATCTTTGCTGTCATCAGTAATTTAATGTATTTTGTTCATCTTTATCCTGCGTTACTAGTGTGATAAAGGATAAAATGATAAACATTCAATGCTGCACAAAATTCTAAAAAATATAAGTGAAGACTATATAAAATAGTAGTAATTCAAAGCAAAGTGAAGGGGAGCAAAAGAAGATGAGCAGGTGGAAGGTGTATATTATGATGGAGAAGGGCTTTGTTTTGGGGGATATAAAGCTCATTCCATTTAGATATCTTTGTATTCTGTTTTAAGTTTACAGATTCTGTTTTTAGTTTACAGTTCAGTTATGATAAAAATCAAAATTCAGGAAGCATTTAAAAATGAAGCATCCTGTTGTTGATTACTCTGTTTCAGAYACATTCATTAACAAAATAGCTTCTCCATATTATCTTTGTAACAAAGCTGCTGCTCGCTTTAGACAACCATCCAATGTCTGAAAAGGTTAGATTTATTTTCAACCAACATACCTGATCTGCTGCAGAGGAAAAACTCTGGCTGACATAAATGTGTCAACACAGAGAAAAACAATGACCCCAAAGCTGTATAAATAACAAGAAAATAATAATGTGCTGGAAAATAAATGAAAACAGAATAAAAGTCAAGAAGCAGAAATATTTGTAAGTGCAGATGACAACAAGAGTTTAACTCAGTTCCAGAAATTATTTCCTTGAAAAAATCACTTTGAATTAGAAAGTAGCAAATATAATTGCTTTTTAATGATATCATAGTTTTTATTATTGTTTGCTCAATACATACGACAGAAAGTTTTAAAGTATACTCATAAGACTCGGGAAACGAATCAGGAAAATAATGATTCTGAGTAATATGATGCTAATAAAGATGCTAAATACCCAGGCAATACATAGATTATAACCTGATACAGTTGGATTTAAATTTAAGGAACAGGAGCAAAGCCCAAGAAGAACATCAG